TAGCGTGCGCCCCGGGATCCCGGGGCGGCGAACTGTGCGGTTCTCAATGGACGCGATCTGCAGCTCTATGGCCGCAACGTAATATCAAAATAGCTTAAGCGGCCAATAAGAGCTGCTAAACTGCAGCAATGCAACTTCACACATCAGTCACTCATTCACTCGCAATGTAAATGAGTTCAATGCGATAACATTTGATGGATTAAAACTAGTTTCTTTCTTAGTTTGCCATGTGAGAATGTGGAAACAATTTCCAGAAAGACATTTTAAATTATTCAGATTCATGGGTCAGTGACTGTGAAACTATTCTGTTCACTGTGGATTTATCCCCAAATTTTCCGCTTTTTAGAGGCAGCAAATCAACTGGTATTGGCAACGCTACAAAATAATTAAGTCGCGTGTATTTAATATTAGCTCTTGTTCCAATATCATTGGATAAGCTTATCGGAGGAACTCACTTGTCTCGAATAAAATCCCATGGAAACTTATCGACATAGATAAGGATTTTTCTAAATATAGTTTTTCCTTAGTTTATTCTGTTCTACTTTTAAGTTTTAAGTTTCAATTTAAAATCACCTAAATTATGTACTGCACATTGAAGACGTCTCTAAGTCATTCATTATCTCTCGTAGGTATTGAGCATCCTTCTTCACAACTAACAAACAAGAGAGTCAAGCTCATCGAGCAGAATCCGTCTAGTTCAGGTAAGTACTGTTTAAGTGACATTGTCGTTCGCCTAGTCTGGACGTTTTGTCAGTCATGGACGAGCTTGTGAATACTAGTTGGTGACAGTTCTGGAAACTTGAACCAGAAACTCTTTGGCAAGTTACAAACGCCCCTGGACTGGTGCGGGAACACATTCCTCGATGAGTTTTACTGCTGAAAAAATCGCCTATTCTCACGAGATATACAACAGCCCAATATGTTCCGATAGGTGTGTAGTCGCGGTTAATGAGAAATGTGTTTTTCAGTTCTCCGTCAGCACCGTGACATCTTCATGTTCAAATGCAGGCACCATTATCCACAGCTACTATTTTTGATTACGGTTACCATAACACCATTGTCGTCATGTCATTGCGCATTGAATTATTAACCAATCAGAGAGTGCTTTATAATTACGTTTCATTTGAATAATGAGCATTTTCTCTCTGCCTCTAGATTATCTTAAGAACATATTAACATAAAAATATAAGTGAATCGATTAAAAGTAAAGTCAAAACAAAGTAATGTGCTATATGACCACTGATGGCGCTCTGCCAAACCTGTCACATTCCTATAAATTATACATTGTACATCAAAACTGTATGTCCTACAACCACTTGTATTCCCAATGCTTCAATAGAAGCTATCACGGCGAGGCCCTATTCACTAGTTACTTAGCTTGACAGGAGAAAATGAATTCGTCGTAGTGACATTTCATCTCTGCATATCAAAGCAAACTATTCGTATTGGACCCTTACAACAAAGTAATTAAAATACTCTTGATGACGATGAATGTTGAACCTATAGTAACGCTAAGCTAACTATCTGTCTATGGTCAGTGATCAACATTCATATCAAAGTCTATATCACTGCATTTATTGACAATAACGTAAAATGTGTGTGTGTATGCTGCCCTCTATGTGTCCATGCTAAGTACTTTCCTTTTCGCCCGGTCATGCCAGTGTTTTATAAGAAATCCGTTGGAAGTAGTCTCACAAATAGGGTCGGACAAATAAAGAGTTCTCTTCTTATAAGCTATACATGTAGCATAAGTAATTGGTTTTATTTATTATGGTTTGACATAACGTGAGGGTTGACGACGTTGCAATATCAGGAGCTGATTATTTTAGTTAGTGTTGTCATGGGTCTGAGCGGATTTGTACATTTTTTTCATTTAACATGGCTGTCTTTTACTTAAAGGTGTGTTGGATTGTTTCCAAATAGGTTTGAATGGAAAAGCTAGTTACACAATATTATTTGCTAAATTTCCAAGTACATTTTTCATAAATAAATGATATCAATCATAAATATAATGACCCTCAATCGCGAATGTAATATCAACCACCATGTAATATGCTTGGTAATGCGTGTGACATGCCGAAATGCTTGGTTTTGATGAATATTTAGTACAAAAATAACTGACATTCGGGCATCTTGAACCATACCGTGAAACAAATGGATGTGAATTGTGTACCCTAATATGTATGTGTGAAATATTAATGTGATCGCAGACCAGCACCGTGTCGTGTGTCTATGTTCGCTAACCCTGAATTCAAACCAAGATCAGCAAAAACACTATTAGTCTTTTCTTTCTGGTGTCACGTAACATGTATAAAATGTCCCAGAACAATTTATCAGACCAAAGGAATATAAAAATGGAACATTCTGTGATTTTTTGGCCGAGAATCTCTAGGTGGGTTTTAATGTATAGCGAATGACATGAATGTCCCTTCATAATCGCTTTATGAAACCACATTTTTGAATACCTGTACAATTTTGCAAATTATTTGCTTCTAATTTCAATGTATGTTTAAATTGTTTTGTTTGCCCACGGACTATGCATCTGTAGCTTAATATAATATTTACAGTGATTGGGTGGGGGTGGGGGTAAACACTCACTTCTCCTCCCAGATACAGCAACGTAGTCGGTTGGCAGTCTAACGGTGGTTATGACCTTTATGGACCTAGACAGATTATGACGAACTCAAGAAATATTATAAAAAAGTGAATTTGATGATCCTAACTTCACTTGAGTGTTCGCTATGTACATACATCTGACGCATTCGTACTGGTATGTGTTTTCGTATGTTTCCATATGCAGTGTGAGATTAAACATCTAATCTGTAAAGGATTTTAGAGTTCTTTAATATAATAATGTTAATAAACTGTTTATATACAATTCTTGACTGTAACAAATAATATACACATTGAACGATACGATATTGGAGTAGTACGATTACAGTTCACTACAACACGGTTAGCAATTAGTTACGTCAGGTAGTGTGAAATGTACAATAAAACTTTAGCCATTCTGAAAAGCGTTTCGCCAAAGGCACAAGGTTGTTAAATCTTACGTTTTCGATTTTACCAGTTAGCATTGTCTTCATGCTTTCGATCAAGAAGAATGTTGTATGAAATATTCGTAAATTTGGGATAACCCTGTCATTATATACATTTGGGAGTTCCATACTTATGATACAATTTTCACAGCTATGTATTACCAAATTGATAGAAAAAATGCCAACATGATATCAAGATAGAACTTATAAACCTATGTTCTCAAAGTTGGGCCACCATTTTAAGGGTATTCATAATTTTTGGGAATTATAGTACTGTAAAGTTTTACATCAAAATTGGCATTTGATTTCTAAACCACATTGAATACACAAACAGAAAATACACATCTTACCACCTAACAGACTACGGGAATATTCGCAGTTTGTTAATATGTTTTGTTATTAAATTCAGACAACTAAAATTTATAAATAAACTAAATATAATATATGTTATAACTGAACTGAATGAATCCACACAAACGAAGAAATAAATTTAGGATAAATATTGTGTGGTCTGAACAGAAGGCGATGATTTGACAAAAAAATACAATTATTTAACTCTTATGTTAAAGCGGGGGAGTCGTCTTTTGCGCATGCGTCAAATGGCCATATCATGTCATTGTTTACAAACAATCGTCTACCCATGAGCCTTTGCGTTTTAGCGTGTGTTGTTATCGTCACTTGGGTCTCATATCCCGCACATGCGCAGTTGACGACCCTCCCGCTTTAAAGTACGGTATCATTTGCAATCTTCTGGTTATTTGGAATAACATTAGGTTACGTCTAAATTAAATTTCAATAATTGAAATACGGAATGAAATGCGCAATAACATAATCAAAGTTATCATTAAGTCTGCCGTTTGCATATGGTTTTTTTTATAAAAGTAAATCATGCATAAATAATACTATTTGAAAAAAACTAATACACTGTACACTTCAAACTTGAACTCAGCACATGACACGCCCATGTAACTTCAAATTATCTGCGTAATGGAATTATATTTCGTCTGTTGATATTTGTGTTAAATAGTCGTGTTAGCCGCAATGCGCGTACATGAAAATACTGTAAAAGCATTTATTTTCACTGTCGTTGAATTTCACTATATTTGCTGTTTTAAGTGATTTCACTGGGTTTCAATTTCACAAACTTGGCAGGGAAACAATGAGTGTTAATGTTATCTTACACACTTGTTCACGTGGATTTAATTTAATGTATTTTACTTTTTGGCAAAAAAGGCGAAATTAAAAACTTCATATTTAATATGTTTACGGTATATCCAAAATAGCAACATAATTGTTTTGTCTTTTAAAAACTCGGCATATCCTGAATTCCAGGTGCGACTTTTACTCTAACGTCTTCAAATTCAGACATATTAGCCAATCATTTTAGGCGGTTCTCAAAACAGCAGCAGTCATAAACATTGTTTCAAATAACACAGGCCATGGTATTTTAGCACTGAGTGACTCGGGATTTCCGCAAATAAATAATATTACCACAGTCTGGTTCAGACGGCTAGTAATTCTGCGCGAATCACAAATATACACTAAGGCAATCATGCATAATAAAACAGCTGATTTGAATAAAAACTAAAACGTCAATAAAATAAAAGGTAAATCGATTACATGAATAGATGATTACAATTACATTAGTTAGTCTGACATTTCAAATCGTTCACTGTATTATCTTGGCAAACGTAAGTACAGATCGCCGTATGGGAAGTTTCGTTGATATATAACGTATATTATAACGATGTAACGTCATCGGTTGCTACCATGGGATCTGACAAACCATCAACATGACGGTAAACACAGTCCCACAAAGATAAGCTATTAAGCACACTCTATCAGTCACTTTAGCGATACGCTTCCATTCTCGCTGGATGCGTTGTTTCTCCGCCATTCTGTCGTTGTAATTATTAAGCATCCTCAACTCTCGGAGAATCTGTTTTAACAGGGCTATATTTTCGCCAGTCGTTGGGCTAGAAGTCAGATTTGAAGACGTATATGTTGTCCTATTTCCATCAATCTCACTCCGGTATGACGGACTCAGCCGTAATATCGGTATCGGTGAGTCTGGACATGTACGCGAATGATTGAGGTCCATACCATTCATGCCAGTAAGGGGTATGAATTCTGCGCCTGCCTTCGAATGGCGAAGATTTGAGACGGCAGGTTTTTTGCGGCGCTGCTGGTTGATATTTACATTGAGAAACCAGCCAACGTATCCAATTATGTACTTTTTTGCCCAATTCGGTACCGGTAAACTGTCCTTCTCAGGTCCCCGGTAGTAAATATTTACCACAAGTACGTTCATGGCGAGCGATACAGATATAAGTATCATGGTCGCTGCATAGTACTGACCTGTAGAAAAAAGAATTGTTGAACTTTTTAGTCTGTGATTTGACATGTAACACACTCGGAGTATTCCATGGCCACTCGGTATGACTCGGTACCACTCGAGATGCTCCGGAATTTTGTCCGATAAAACACTTTCTCCAATGTCAATCGGGAGAATTGTCCAATACAAATATGCACTGAAGCATTTCCCAATAATTGTCTTTCTTGGAATAACTAACAGTTGGCATGGTAACCACAAGGGTCTTTGCCGCTATTTTACAATGAAATAAATAAAACCTTGCAAGAGAATTGATACCGTTTATGTAAGTCTCTAGCGACGAAGCCCTTTTGTGAAATGTAGATAGATGATAGATGACATTGTCGTTCAAGTCGATGTTTGTATGTATATTTAGCCGTTCGTTATTTGGAATATAATGTATTTTTTGAAAGCAGATTATTTAAATTAATGAAACACGACGACATTTAAATGCCAGATTGAACCTTATGCCCAGTTACGCCAATGAGGCACGACTTATAGGACAAGTATATATCAATACTAACATGACTGAATAATTACCTATTACGGGAACCGCATCCGAAGCAGGCATCACCTCAGCAACCAGCAGTAAGAACACGGTAAGGGAGAGCATCACTGTAACCCCCAGGCTTATTTTACCCTGTGATTCCGCGGGCAAGAAGAATGTCAAAATTGTCATGAGTGATATCAGCGTGCACGGCATGATAAGATAAAACACGTAGAATAAACACCTCCGACGAAAATAGATTGTGTAACTAATATCAGTGTATGGAATTCCAGGGGTGTCTGGGTAATATTCCTTGTGCGCTTGCGCTGTTAAATCTTCTAGATCCCATTCGCCATTGCTTACAAAGACTGAGGTACTGCCTGTAATATGAACAGATGAGAAAGTGACAAAAAAGTGACGCATTTCTCAATTTTATATATACGTACATGCATTTGTTTGCTGAGCAAAACTGTGCAATACACAGTAAATGTTACTTTCAGCAGTGTGAATCACTTTATCGGGTATAACGTTATTAGAATGAATTGAGAATTTATCAAACGCAAGTTATTTCACCACTCGCCAGATAAAAATGTCAGAACGCCACCACACCTTCTATCTGCATTCACAAGTCACTCAGCTCAGAGCGTTCTCGGTGAGCATCGGTGTAGCACGTATAGAACGCTCACATTGTAGAGCGCCCCACAGCGATCCCGGATGCGACGTATCAGTGGAAACTACGCCGTAAATATTAGCTTCATATTAAGAATATTTCAAACACCAAAACAGTAGTGTCGTGAACGACAATTTCTTATGCGCATTATCGCTGCGCAGTAGTTTCAGTGACGTCATTCATATGACATAACATGTAATATCCAATTGGTAGGCAATATACCATATACTAGTACTACACATTTTGATTCAAAATCTGATCTTTACTACCAAATTCTATTGCTAATAGCATTCACGCATTTCTCACGTTGAACGTTCCACGGAAAGAGGCATCTTCATGTCACTGTACCCAAGAAAATTATTGTTTGGGAAAATTATTGTTTCTACGCTAGAGCAATATACATTTACGTGGACTTTATATTATTTCTGTAAAATAAAGTTTAATTTATTCAAAACTTTCTAACTACAATATATTTACCTTGCCTAGTGTCTAATTGCTGCTTTACGACATCCTGATCTCGAATTAAAGCAGTATTAATATAGTCACATTTTGTTAATATTAGTAAATGCTAGACTAATCACAGGCACAGCAAAGCACGCGGTATTTGTTGTCAGTATTGTACATCTATTCACTTTCATATAATTAAACTTTTTTTCATTTCAAGCAATAATGGCCCTAAGATCCAATTACTTTCGTACCGTATATATACACAAAAGAAACTAAAAAAAACATCTTCGTAAATTAAGTAAATGCTGTGCTGCCTTACGTCACGGTTGTACGGATTAAAAGGTTTCTGTTAATTGCATGTAGCCATATCAGTAATTAACTGTCATTCAATTTGTATATATGATGAGGTAAAACAGTGAAAGCAAAAACGACTGCGCGCAGTAATGCTCTTCTTGTTGACAAAATGGAACTAATCACGAAAATAGTCAATCCAGAAAAGTAATTAATGATAAGGGATTACCAAAGAACATTGTCACATATGAGTGACATTCAATATATGTTTGATTTCAATGAAACATTGATCAAAATCTCAAAAATAAAAACCAACCCGATGTATGAAAAATAAATTACCCATACATGAACCCAGAGTGATTCTGATTACTTATTCATTATATATTTTAAGTGATAAAGAAGTGTTGTTGTGCCATAAAATTTTGTCTACACTAGATGCATGAATATTTATAGAACCATGTATAAAATTCATGTCACTGTACATTGTGTAAGTTGAAGAACGTCAACTGGTGCTGCAATGAGTATAGTCGAAGGTGGCCAGGCCAGAGGTAGGTGCTTTGAAATAGAGCGTGTTTACAATGTTTTACGCTAGTTATTTGGAGGTTGCAATGTTCATGGACCTGCATAAGTCAGTCATCCTTGATGAATACAATGAATACCATTTTTACGACTATATCGGAGTAAAAAAAAGCTTTCCCGAACTAACATACTCGAAAATGATAATCTTTTTTGTTGTTGGGATTCTGGTTAACGGACAAGGGCATCTGACAACGCCGATTGTAGGGAATAAACGAATCAATGGGGGATTCTACTTAGACCAGTTGGTGCAAGATCGTTTATGCATCCACTTACCTGAACCATTCAAAACCACTTCGAATCCGTCGTGCTGCCATGTTCCAAACTTCATACTACATCTCTGTTCATCAAAGGGGAAATACTTGGGGTCGATTTTACAGTGACCTCGAAATATAACTGGAGCTGTCCAGCCGACCGAGCCGTCGCTGTACACAACGACTAAATGGTCGAGAAGAAAATTCTCGTATCCGGTGGCAGCGCTGAAAAAATAAAATGAATGATTATTGGTGGCAGTTTTCCGCTAATCGCTCATACGTGTAATAGATCACTTGAAATTTCTGAATATCCGTTTTTTCTAATAAGTTTTAATTGTTGATGGAAGATTATTCAACATATAAATATGAATATAACATTATATTAAAATATTACACAGTGGCAAATAATTAATTAATGAAATACTTACTTCTGGTAAAAATAAACATCTGGTAACCACAACCTCTCAGCAGGTACTTTAATGCTCTTAATGCCACCGTAGTCTGTCTGGTTCCAAACAAGGTATTCATCTTGCCAATTCTGTTGGACAATACACGTGCACTTATACGATCAATTCGACCCCGAACATTTCCCATACCAAAACCGAACTTTTCGATACAACTAAACCAATTGTAATCCGTTTCGGAAACCGGACCTTGTTATATTCTATTTTCTTTTACTTTATATATTGCATCAAATTTGGTCTCGAACAATCGACAATAGGTTGTTCAGCTTCGATACTTTGCATTAAAATGTGAATATAGCAACAACTAAAAAAGAACTTACTAGCGCCACCCAGCAGTTACTAGTCAATGTCTGTCTTTTTTCGTCCTGGAATTATTTGACAAGAAAACGAGAATTATATACAGAATATAACAGCATGCACTTCTTCATCGTAATAATCAGTTAACCCTGTCATCGCCGACTTGTTGCATCTTGATTGTTGTTGTACTTTAGGGGAATTCACATGATATACTGAACCGTAGATGGCGCTGTCACAAACACAGATTCATTACAGAAATCTCCCGCTTGCGCTTTTTTTCTTATTCAAAGAACAAACGCTCACATTCACAATGGGCTTTCATTTCAATTCGCAACGTTCTGATTTGTTTCGAATCATGGGTTATTTTGATTCTAAATGCCAGCTTCTCAAATTTTATTCTGGTGTTTTTGTACGTCCAGTATTTCTGAAGTTCTCTGTCGTTTCCTTAACTGTTCCACCTTAATGCAAGTTCAACTCCCGAATCACATAACCGTATGGTGGTCTTTGTCAAGACAACAATATTTAAGTGAAATGCCAACTCTATTTAACATTGCATGTTCTAGTTCTTCAAATAAATGTTCAACCAAAAGGTCCTCGATAATGTTACAACGTTGTTTTTGCTAGTTGACTGTCATGGGCTGAGCTACGTATAGTAACGATTTGATGTGAATGCTGTCAATATAAACTACGTCGAGATCAATTTTCTGTAGGAGGTATGATTGGCATATTGATATCGACTGATGCAAGTGTGCATATAACATTTGATTGCACCGGCTTCGAATACAAAGTAATCACGCAAACGTGTGGGAATTTGTAGAAAATGAGAGTACAAATAAGATTGAATTAAGAATCTGATTAGCATGTTCCCCCGACGTTGTCTTCTGAGAGATTCAAAATTGAGGCTGTAGGTCGTCCAATTCTTCCACTCAGTGTCATAGTTTTTGATTGCATTGACGTGTAAGCCATTAAGGTAATTCTGACAACAATATATATATATATATATATATATATATATATATATATATATATATTATACAATGGACGGTAGACCAATTAAAAGAAAACAAATGGGCGATGACTGTATTGACATTCACTGGCTAAATATAAAATCACCAGAATAGAACATATTTAAAATTTACACACTGAACGGTTTAGCGTTATTCAAAGAATTTTGGGCTCGTTTGATTATCAATCCATTTATATAGTTATTTGCTCTCAGGATATGGTGCAAAATGTTTAAACACTTCAGTAGACTTGATTTTATGCAAATATTACGATTGTTACTCTGATGCATGAGTACACAATATAATATCTAAAACACAGACGCTCTTGTGTTGATATACTAGCAACCAATAAATAAATAAATAAATAATACAGAACAAATTATAGTCAAAGTCAAAGCGTTCGAAATTAACAGCAGTACAAGTATTTGGATTGTGTTTTTAGTATGTTCCACTTGTAGCATGGCTTCAGAATTTTAACAATATAACACCACACCTGTCTGAATATAAATACAATTGGGGGGGGGGGGTACTTGTGTTGGTATATCTGTGCAGATATGTGTTGATTTGTACTGTCAACGATTCACACTCTTAGGACACTGTTTTTGTTGTCAATGCCTTTCGTGGTTTTACATGCCCAACCATCTGAGTCATGTTGCCTTGGTTGTTTAACTAGCGAACGCTACTCCTCATTATGTACTGTGTGTTACATGATGGCATTTAACATTGACGTAACAGACCACAGTTCATCCACTAACGTGCTCTTCAGCATACTAGTACATTTGGAATGGGGCCCAAAGGATCAAAAAATAGAATTTGGAAGCAACAGAATTTGAACACAATTGCCACAGAAATAAGAATTCGTTTCAACACGTAAAATACATGAACAAATGAAACCACAATTATATTAGTGATCGCTTTTCTGTTTTTCCCGGCTAGCGATTAGTGCACTTTCAAAAACCATGTTACGTGGCGGCACCAAAATACCAGCATGCATCTGTGTGGTCTGAATGTATGTTTTACAGTAAACATTGTCTACAATTGTTTATTACAAATGATTTGTGCATGTACTCAACGATTTGTGTAGGTCATTGAACACGTGACCCTGGTCTTTTAACCTAGTAGATGAAAATACATCTTGGCCGTACATGTTATTGTTACTTATTTTGCTCCGGTAAACCTACCGGATTGATTCTATTATCCGTGTTTGTCCAATATACGTTTAATTCAAATATAATGAGTAAAACGTTTAAAAACACACAAATGGACACACAGAAACACGTTGTATGAGCTGGCTTGGTAAATCAAAGTAATTCATGGCGAAAAACCAACTGAAAAATAACGGTTAGAAGTAAAATGAAAATCCCTTCCTCCCAATTAAACCAAAAGATAGTAGCAGCTTGTTCTCTCTTGTCTGCAGACTATCTCACGGTGATAATGGAATTCGCCTTATGTGCATATGCAGCATATACGATGTAGCAAACCTTAACTCAATAAATAGGTTAAAAATATACATTAAGAAGTTACAATAAAACAAAATAGAAATAACATATCCAAACAAAGGTTGTTTAACATCCAACAACACAAAAAAACAAAAAACAAACAAACAACAACAAAACAATTAACTGACAGGTACACAACATAGTAAATCAGTAAGAGAAAGATATATAGAACTTATGTTTTGAGAAAAAAGGGCAGACCCTGTTCCATATGTGGCCCCGTATTAAACACATGGTTTAATAGTTTAGACGAAAGAAAACAATGTCTTTTTGAAAAGTCTGCATATGTACTACAGGCATAGAGGACGAGCTATATTGGGATATTGCTCTGAAGGTGTGGACAATCAATTATAGAATAAAAATCATATCACTTGTCATATAGTCAAAAGCAGACCCCTAGAATCAAATATGAAGCAGAATAGTAAGATTCTGTAATCTCAAGTTCTTATGCTCAAGTTCAACTGGATCATTCGTTGCAATTTAATCAATAAATTTAGTATTGGTGATGCTAAGTATATCATCAATATATTCAAATATAAAATTAAAGGACTAGTATAGTAGAATATAAGTTTAAAACATTTTAATTGAAATACAGTGTATACAGTATTAAATGAACGCTAGTCTTTTTACAGACGTGATGAATTTATTGATGAAATATGTGCATATTTCCTAATTAACATACATTAGGCATTGTTAACTGTTCTGTTTTAATATCTCAAGATCCATTCATCACATTTCAATGTATACAAGTACTCTGAAGTGAGACACAGACTCAATAGTGCAGGGCTGAAATTCGTGTATAGTAATTATTGAATTTAAATAAATAAGCAAATTACTACAGATCTACTACAGATGTCTCTAGTACCAATCATCAAATTGCAAATAAACTTGGCACATATATGCTGCGACATAAAAAATACACCTAATTAGTTTTGGGTTGAAATACGTGCGTATTATCTAATTTCTGATATTCCAATAACCATTTAGGTAGCAGCCTGAGGATATCCGTTTGCAAGGAAAATGGCAATGATGACCAAAACCTATCTACATATTTAAAAAAATATATTTATTCAGAAAACCCAGCCTTGTTTGCTTTAAGGTCACGTGACTCCTGAAATAGACAGTGGCGATAAATGAATAATATAAACAAAAGAACGATAATAGTATATATACGGTTATTCTTGATATAACAAGAAATATACCATTGTAGAGTTAGTGTGATGTATTAATTACTATTTTGCTTATTCTGTTTCCATAATTTGGTAAACTGTAACAATTATTTTTAAAGGAAATAAAGAGGAATGATTTTAACATTTAAGAATAACCAAACTGCGACATTGTAATGCTTCTAAATCAAGTCGCTGCATGAAATTTAGCACATCCATCAAAATGTTTCCACCATTTTCTTGCAAACATACTACCAGGCTACACTTCAGCTTATACAATTTGAATAAAACTTGGTACGTGATTGGTATTGGATACTCCACAGACATAATACGTTTATTGTTGGAAAAAACGGCGCGCATTAATTACCTAAATTACAATTGGATATGTCAACTTCATTCACAAGATTTAAATAAAACTTGGAACATATGTGCCCTTGGACAATAGAGTTGATATGTTTTTGTAATAATAACCCAATTTAGATAATTATGTCAACTCGTTTCAGCTCTTTCACAGATATCCCAATAACCACTTATCAAACGTAAATGATGCTTGAAAATAAGTTCTTTGAGTTACTGCACAGACCACTGTGACAACTCACATATTGTTTTCATTTGCTATAATATTTTACTATCAAATTCAAGTCAAAGCAAGGACTTCTTGTGTAATAAGCTAGTCCCAAGTTTATAATTTATCTTAAACATTTCTTTTATATATTTCCTCATGCTTGAATACTTTTATCACACGGAGTTCTTTGTAAGCCTTCTTTGATATTTATTATAATGATGCCAATAAAAACTTTTATATACAATTCTTCACTGGAACAAGTAGTTTACATATCACACAAGTAAATGATTACAGTTCACAATAACAAGCTTAAAAATTAGTGACGTCACTTGGTGTGAAATGTGTATACATATAATAATTTTAGCCATTATGAAAAGCGGTCCGCCAAAGGCACAGCCGTGTAATGTGTAACTTTATAAATTTTAAATATTACGAAAAAGTATTGTCCGAAACGCTGCCGATCTGGCTGTGTGAAATATTAATAATGTTATCGATGATAACCATATCAATATACATTTGCGTGTACCATAATTACGATACGGTTTTTACAACTAGGTGTAATAATAAAACAGAACAGGACAACTGATTACCTGTGACCACCGCGATGCACACGTAAACATTCGTATTTCATTTTGTCGGTGCGAAAAATAGTACTGATGATAATGTAAATCATCTAAAACTAAACATTGTAAAAATAAACATTGTGCTGTTAAAGCACGTTATGAATCGGTATTTTAAATGTGCAGCCAGAATTCTGAAAAGCCGTACCCACGACAAAATAATTCTGATTATTCGTTTTTGATCTAAACACAAATAAATAACATATTTAAAGTTAAACTATGTTCAGTTCATATCGATTTAAATATATTTTTTGATTTGATTTTTTGATTTGGGTGCGATATGGCCACTTTATTAGTTGTAATTCTAACTGTGTCACTGAATGACTCCACGCAAAGACATCATCTATCAGCCATAGTGGGTGGGCTGCACTTAAGGTGATGTATAGACCAAATATTACAATAAACACATTACATATACACGTGGATAAATTGAGTGCAGTGCAATATTGAGTGCAATATTCTGGTCATTTGCAATTATGTTATTTTGTAATTAAATCTCAAATATGAAATATTGGAAGCCCACTACTCACGTAACTACGCATTCTGTGGAGCCCACAGACAAGAACCTAACACTTATACTTTCCCTTGAGGGCGCCGCGCATGAAGTTGTTGATGAAATAAATGAGCACTACCGATGAAATGGTAGTTTTGTCTGTAAGGCGCCTATTTGCACTTAAAAGACAATCTGAGTTATCATTGAGTCTATCGTTTGCATATTTATCATAATAGTTAGCTTTTTTTATATAAACAATAAATACATCCTGCATAAGTAATACTATTACACAATACAATACTACCTCGGCACATTGCACGATCACTCGACTTCAATCCTATTGCCGTCAATGCGTGAGGCCACTAGTAAAGAATTTGACCGCAAATGATTTAAATGTAAAATCGTACCCCCTAGTTGTCACATGGTCGTTTGGTCCGTTGATACTTCGGTATCAACTTGAAGTGTTAACACGTATAGTATACGATTCGCCCAATAATCTATACGGGGAAGTTTTCAAGGTTGATTTTGCCTCCATTCCATCAACTAAAGGCACAGAGTATAAAGAAATATACAACAATTTGCGTGGAATACCCTCTATATCAGTCCTAAATGGCGACATTCAATAAATAAAGCATTTTTGTAAGTACTATGCGCAGATATGCAGACTTCAAATAATATGGCCCCGAGTAAATCGATATCAGTTAACGTGGTCGAATGAAAAACTTGGTCCACGAATTGTCTTTTTCTTTAAAATAATAAATTCCTTCTATAATAATAGTGCTTGGAAATATAATGGTCCAGTCAAAGTTCGCCATTTTGGAAGTTTTGTTATTGAGTCTCATGGCATGACGACAAGTGATATATGACGTATATGGCAGCGACGTCACGCCACTGACTGTTACCATGGTATCTGACAAACAATCACCATAACCGTGGACACTGTCCCACAGAGGTAAACTATCAAGCACAATCTATCTGTCACTTTGGCGATACGCTTCCATTCTCGCTGGACGCGCTGTTTCTCTGTCAATTTGTCATTGTGTTTATTAAGCATCCTCAACTCTCGGAGAATCTGTTTTAACAGGGCTATATTTTCGCCAGTCTCCGGGCTAGAAGTAAGATTTGAAGAGTTATATTTTGTCCTGTTTCCATCCATCTCACTCCGGTATGACGGACTGAGCCGTAATATCGGTATCGGTGAATCTGGACATGAGTGTGAATGATTGACGTCCATACCATTCATGGCAGTAAGAGGGATGAGTTCAGCGCTCGCCTTTGAATGGTGGTGATTTGAGGCGCTCGGTTTTGTGTGGCGGTCCTGGTTGATATTTACATTGAGAAACCAGCCAACGTATCCAATTATGTACTTTTTTGCCCAATTCGGCACTGGTAAACTGTCTTTCTCAGGTCCACGGTAGTAAAGATTTACCACTAGTACGTTCATGGAGAGCGATACAGATATAAGTATCATGGTCGCTGCATAGTACTGACCTGTAGAAAAAGTAAAAAAAAATTGTTTAGAAGTACGATGCGAAAACAGCGATAACATGAAGTCCTAGCGATGCTCCGAGACCTTATTCCACACAACGTCTCAAATGTCAGATTCGATGAGCATGACGAAGCCATCCCAGATGTAGTAAAGCATCTCCGCATCGAAACAATTGAAACAATGACGATATTTATCACTCATTTATTGTAAAAAAAATATCGGGGAAATATGCCGTATTATTTGCAGTAATTCCAAAAAGACCAATATTTAGTAAAACAAAAACAATGTGTTGAACATACCACAGTAGATAGTGTAACGCAATTCCTATAAATCGCGCCCTCTACCGACCATGCGTGTTGTGACGTAACTATGAGGTAGATATTTGACGAATCAACGACTGTGTTTGGTTTGTCTTTCAGAATAGAGTAAATCACTCACAAAATTTAGAGGTTATTCGCAGCAAATTAAATTACCGCGGTAAATCATAAATGTTGACATACGACATTCTGCGGCGACCGGCGAGTCAGAATATCAAACCTAAAGTATTTTCTGTGACTAATCTCTTGGAACTTCTTTATTTTTAAAGAGTAGCATTTGTTTTTGACAACTTCGAAGTCTTGGTGGGCTACTTTAATGCTATACAGTCTATAGACTGCCTTTAATACGTCATGGAAGCACTTTGTCGGTAGAAAGTTCGACTTATATCACAATGCATATGACTTTGTACTTACCTATCACAGGAACTTCGTCCGAGGCAGGCATCACTTCGGCAACCAGCAGTAAGAACACGGTAAGGGAGAGTAACACTGTGACACCCAGGCTGATTTTACCCTGTGATTCAGCTGGCAGAAAGAATGTCAAAATTGTCATAAGCGATATCAGCGTGCACGGCATTATAAGATAAAACACGTAGAATAAACACCTTCGACGAAAATATATGGTGTACGTAACATCTGTGTAAGGTGTCCCGGGGGTGTCTGGGTAATATTCCTTGTGCGCCTGCGCCGTTAGATCTTCTAGGTCCCATTCGCCATCACTTACGAAGACTGAGGTGCTGCCTGTAATGACATAAATAAGCTGAGAACGATACACTGACATATTCAAATAAATAATAAGTCCAATGAAAACATAATAATGAACTTGAGTTATGTTATGTCGTGGTCGTCGAGTATTTTAATTTGTAATTCGACATAAGCTTCATCTTAGTATTGATGCATACAATACACACTCATTTCAAACAAGTTTTTTAAACACTCAAAGAAATGAACGTATCCGCAATGATATCCCATATGCAGGTGATAACTTTAAGGTAAAACGTTCTTAAAATTGTCAAATGAGTTGAGTGTACAACTGACATCAAGAATCAACACGATTTAAGTTAGTCTTTTTCACAATTTTCTTGAACTCGTTAGTTGTACGGCATATACCAGACAGGTCACGGTTCAACCTGTGGTTAAGAACTGGTCTTAATCACTGCCTGGTTCTTATAAGCATGATTATTATACCCAATCAAATCACACGATATTTTCATTGCTAACAACAATGCCAGAAACCATAATATCGATATTAGCATTTTTTTTTAATATTAGCAAATGGTAAATTAAATACAGGCACAACAGATTACGATCTATTCGTTTTATTTTTATTGTATTTATATTCGCTCTCAAATTCAATTCGTTCATTTCGGACAACAATGACCTTCATATCTTATATACTTGTACAAATGAAAAACAACTGGATGCAGTGCTTTACGCCTTATTATTACCGGTTAAAATGTGTCTGTTAATTGCATGTAATAATTTCAATATGTAGCTATCTTTCAATGTGTATATATGGCGATGTGCAAAAGCAAACACAGGAATTATCTTCACATATAACAACTAAATTAGACAAATAAAAACAAATCACCAAAAATCACTAACACGTAATGCCAATATTTAAAGGCGTGTACATGACACGGGTGTCTTATTTTCAAAAAATCTTCAAACACAAACTTGGAAGTAATCCCCCATCTCGATGTATGAAATAATGAATAACCTATTATCAAAGTTACAAGCATAAAGTGATTCTTATTAATTATCCATTGCATCTCTTAAGTGATCGAGCAGGGTTGATGTGCTGTGTGATTTGCTATATATACTCTATGACGTGGATATTTGATGAACTATGTAAAACATGCATACAATTGTGTATATTCTTAGAGCCGCTGAGTGTGTATCTAAACGGATCCGGAATAAATTGAATTTATTTCATAAGGCAATGTACAAGTTCATACTTGAAAACAAAGAATGGCAAATTTTGGCGAGAAACAAAAGATGTCGTGACAACAAATGTTCCAATTTGCCATACTCGACAATAATAACCTTCCTGTGAGATTACTGGTTTACGTACAAGAGCAACACACTGTGGACTGTAAGGTATATATACTAATTCTGGTTCGTGCACGTGGAGGATTTTACTTAGACCATCATTTGGTGTGAGGTCATTCATGCATCAACCCACCTGTGCCATTCAAAACCACTTCGAAACCATCGTACTGCCATGTTCCAAACTTCATAGTACACCTCTGTTCATCAAAGGGGAAATACGTGGGATCTATTTTACAGTGACCTCGGAATATAACTGGAGCTGTCCAGACCACCTCGCCGCTGCTGTACACAACAGCTAAATGGTCGAGGAGAAAATTCTCGTATTTTGTAGCCGCGCTGAAAAAAGAAAGAAATGGTTATTGGTGGCAGTTTTCCCTTAAGTTATTGAGATGTACTTGATCACTGATGTTAGCTTTCGGATGTTATGCTTCTAGATCTTTTATTATTATTGATCTGCTCCTCTTTTTACTGATAGGTTCGAATGGTAGATGGGGGAGTATTCGGCGTGCCTGATTATTTCCATAAAACTTTTAATATTCAGAGTTGGCGAAATATCTGTAAACATCACAAAAGATTGCGTGGTCTCAATTGTCATTCACACACAGATGGTCTTAATATTTGAAAATCAAAAAAGCGGTTGGAATTTGTTACTCATGAGGGTTTTTATTTATCGAAATCGTTGTTACTGTCGGTGAACTTCGTTGTAAGTGAAATATTGTTCGTAACACTAGTAAGTCAAACGGACAGTACATGTAACTGGGTGCTCGTAACCTTTACTATTATTAAAAAATTATATAATCACGTAAATAAATGTAATTAATTAATGAAATACTTACTTCTGGTAAAAATAAACATCTGGTAACCACAGCCTCTTAGCTGGTACTTTCATACTCTTAATTTCACTGTAGTCTGTCTCGTTCCAAATAAGGTATTCATCTTGCCAAGACTGTTGGATAATGCACGTATAGCTGAACGATTAGATGACATCGATCGATCCAAAACTCGTCAATATTGTCAAGCCATATCCAATTCATCATGAACATAACGCATTTTCATAGACAACCATGCTCTATCATTAGCATCTTGAGTTTTTTTTCAATACATTTGCACCAAGTTTGGCCTCGAATAAATATTGACTTTCCACTGTTAATCTTTAGCAATAGTTGAAAACGAGTCAAAACTGTTTGTTTAAAACAATATTTAATAACAAATAAACGTGAACTCACCAGCGCCATCCAGCAATTACTGGTCAAAGTCTGACTTTTTTCATCCTGGAAAAAAATAGTTGACGACTAAACAACAAATATACGAAATACAACAGCGGCAGATTGGTTGCGACAGAGGGTGTCTGGATTTCATTCTAATCAACAACGACGCCCATTCCAGCTTATGTGATTAGTAATTTAGAATACCGAATATGTTCTTTGATTTGTTTTTATGTTCTTTGTCTATATTCTTCTTTAAATAAAAAGGCCTCGCTTCTTCATTATAATATTTGTTCAACCACTGTCGTCACCGACTTGTTGAATGCTGCGTGTTGTAGTTGGTATACTGAACTGTAGATGGCGCTCATTAATATGACATTGATGGATGAATTCTCAGCAAGTCTATACAAAATGATGTTAACGTATGATTGCGCAAAGCAATCATTAAAACATATGGGATTTTGTACAAAATTAGAGTAGAAATAAGATTGAATTAAGAATCTGATTAACGTGTTCCTTGGCGGTATCTTCTGCGAGATTCAAAATTGGGGTCGTAGGTCGTCCGATTCTTTGAATTTGTTTTATGTAGTTTCATTCTAGTATGAGCCGACACGGTAATTCTAACAACAGAGCGTATACAATGGTCGCTACAGTATAGTCCACATACAAAAAAAACTAATTACTGATAGTGGACGCAATGCGCGCATTAGTGCTTTATTGGATATCGCGCAGTGGCTAATTGCAATGTACAATACAACATCACCGAAATGGACTTGTTGTGTTTGTCGCATTACAGTGAACATATTAAAAACATCGACGCGTAAGTGAATAATCTCCATAATGTTATGTACTGAACGGTTGAACGCATTAATTCATATATCGCCGTCCAAACAGTTACCACCATTAAGATAAAATCAACATTTTATTTTATTTAGTTTAAAATGTATGTTATTTATTCAGTCTTTTGGCCGTTTGTGTTTAGGTAATTGCCAAATTTGGAAGTAAACAACGATTACAGTGAGCGGAATGATAAAAGAAAATCCTCAAACAAGACACAAAAACAACTTTCTGACGCCGCATGTTGCTACACTACTTCAGACTGATAGAGAGTACGATTCCATGTTGGCGACACGATGCAGCACTTGTGTTGCGTAAACTCTTGAAATTTCATCAAAAATTGCTCAAGCCTTTCCCGTATTCCGAATTAGTAGTGATATGAACATGTGGTTTTTGGTTATGAATTATGATCAGTGTATGTGTTAGCTCACAGGAATTTAATGACAGATGATACGTGTTTTGCCAGTGATCTAAGGATGTATTTGTCTATAATTAGATGGGATGTCATTTTAGTATATAAAAGTCATATTTTCGTGTTTGAACAGTCGTAACCGTGAAGGCAACAAAAGTCCCCAAAATATATTGATAATTAACTAATGGATAAAATAACCGAAATTAGGTGTTGTTTCTTTTCGTGTTCTTAGACCAATCATCGCACATATTTTAAATACGTAAATTTAAAGATACTTTTGTGGAACACACTGGACAACGTGATGCACAATTAACATAAACGCCAAGATAAAGCGCATGCATACCCGAGCACGCGAACTATACAATTAGTTTACTCCTAACGGGCTGTTTCATTTTACTTCATATGGTACTCAGTCTTTTAAATTACGTTTCGAGCTCAGTCACTCGTAACCTGCCTTAATTTGATTGACTCATTAGCGGATATCGCCCTTTAAATCAATCGCAACAGGACGCCGTTATAGGATGATAACTATCCAGATATTGGACGTCTCAATAAATCTCGTTACTTGTAAATTTCATTGCATTGTCTTATTCCGCCAACATTAGACAGCCATCTCGAACAGCCAAGGGACATTGAAAAGCTTTTAGTTTTAACTAGCGATATTGGTCATGCGTGTTTGGTCTATTCGGGAATCTCATTAGGAGGAATTGAGTTGATATCGACAGATAGTAACTTCAATTTCCGTATACGATGAAGAACTACTTCGTTAAACGGCACAAAACAGGAATTTGTATGAATTAAATGATGGTTAGGCAGGTTAAAAATCACCAACACAAACACGCTCGGGATACTTACTAGAACTTTATGATCGAATTATCGTGTCTTTATCGTGCTATGTATGTTCGGTGGTAAAAATGTGTATTGTTTATCTTCAGAGGATCACACTGGATCGAAAATAAATGGAACCGCAAAATGTGATAGGAACATTAATGTAGAATGAAAAATTGCTACTCATCAATTATTCAATACGATTGCATAACGATTTATGTATCTGCCATACACAGATAACATCCATCAATGCCTGAGAGTGGTTTGGAATTAGTACATGGTATTGGTATATTTGACTATTAATATGGCTGCCTGTCACATGGAATTAAATCGCGAAACTTAGTTCACATGTGACATGTTACGTGTATATGTGAGTAATTTGGCGGTCCAGGAATGTATAATATGTTAGCCCATATTTTGGGAAAAAAGTGTTAATAAATGACCCCAACATTTCCATTTACACCATTTAGTAATCACTGTATTTTTACTTAATGATTATCGGTCAAAAACGTTTACTCTACTGTGTTATGGCATTTATGTTATGAAAAATCACCGTATTTAGAATGTGACTGATATTATCAATTAGAAACAAAAGTCTCATACGGAAAAGTTATTTTCTTATGATACCACTCAATTTTAATACATCATCATTATTAGCCACGATGGAGAAAACACTTTACAGTGGTTGCTTTACTTGAACAACGACAAGACAGGTGTCACTCTGTGTTTAGAATATGTGTGGGGTACAGATTCGATGATTTTATACGACATGCTAGTTAACTTAACCAATAAACAGGGACGAAAGGTCATACTAGTCTCCCACGAGACAAACAGTGTTTGATCACCATTGAAGTTGCTCCCTATGTCCCCATTCAAACCATTCCCTGCATAACGCACCATGAATCGATTATAACGTACACCCGTACAGGATTGTTAGCTTTGCAGTAACGTTGTAAAACCCCACAAAATATGTTTCAAAATGAGGTGTACAAATTATGGAAGACGCTAGTAAAATTACCTGTCTACTTTCATCACCGCCATCATGTATACTAGTATATCACCGCGATACATGAAACACAAATCGTCACGTGTCTCTGCGGGCTCCTCGGATACCCGAGATATCGAACGTAGCAGTCAAGTATTCAACATAAATATGATGTTTTATTGATCAATGTGAGCAATCAATCCAGACAGACTATTCACTGATCGATGGCTTATATTGTATAGTTATTATTTTGCAAACTGTAAAATGATTAATTTTCACTGAGTTTAAATTTCGTTGATTTAGCATCTCAGGCATATTCAGTTGGTTTTAAATTCACGGTTTTATTATCATGATTTAGACAATGTGTTCTATGCTAAATTTTACATATTCACTGGGTTTCAATTTAGCTCATTTTCCTGTCAGCGAAATAAGCAAAATTAAAAGCCAGTGAATAATTAACCCTAAAACAGTATTATTCTAAGTCAGCAGAGAAAATCGTGAAGGACTCGGAAGATTTGAGGGAGATAAAACACTTTTACCCCGTGTGATAATTACTACCATCACGGTGATACCGCAATGGCATGGGGAGAAGTATGAATAAATGATAATACAGAGCCAATCAAAGTAGTCGATTTATTCCAACCATCAAATGTTTCTCACGTGACTGACCATCAACCAACCAGTAAGCGTTCTCCGATACCACTGCTTACTAATTTGCGTGAGCGCATCATTAGTGTTTTCAGCCCAGGCGGAAATGAACTAGAAAGTCGAGTCCAAATTCAATGTCACTGGGCAACCTCAATTTTACATATTTTAGAGGTACATCTTACGGTTGTGTATGTAATTCACTGAGTCTTACTAGATGGTTATATTTATCGTGACTCACTGTGAAGTCTTACTTACAATTGATTTAAGAAAATCATTATTAGTGATAAGCCGTCACAGTTAGGATACCAGACTGCATTTATCGGAAATATGTTGGTATTCTATACGATCTGTAGTAAATGGGGAATCACTATATTGACTTGCTCAACATAATGGAGTGACAATGCTTTCTGATGTAAAATGTATATTGATGTGGGTACAATCCAAAGCATACGTCAGTCGAAGATGTTATTGAAATGAGTACTAGTAACAGCCTCGCTGTCACGTTGTCTTCAGTATACCTCATCCTGAAGGACTCGAACAATTTGAATTATTGAATTACTGGTTAGCGTTTTCCTCGAATGATGATATTATTCCATTTTACAGCGATCGACATAAAGCCGCGTGTCCAGTGGAACAATAAATCGAATCTCACACCAAGAGGGACAATGGTGATCGTTCGAGGGAAAAGCATCACCTCGTATACACCACTTAAGATAGTTGGAAACACAGATCAGCGTCGTTGGCGAGGGAGCAGAGCTGTTCAAGCGAGAATAGAGTAATAGCGTATATCATTATTCTATAGCATGGGTTCGGTGACCCATCAGATCAATTTCGTGTAAAAGTGACAGAAGTCCAGTTAATAGATATGATCATAATTGAGTTTCTTTCACTACCATCGATCAGAAATGTCAGATGTATCAAAAGAATGCACCAAGCGATGACATTCCAAAGAAATCACGACTATATGTGATAGTTTTAACCACATAAAATATCCTAATTCAATTATGTTATTAATAGCTATGGGATATGTTAGTTTAAGAAGGAATAAAATAGTTCATCACATCGACATACTGATAACGTTTTCGGCTTTATTGGGGGGGGGAGTAAATAAGTAACAAAGCTATATCTTGTATATGCATCTTTCCACAATCACAGGTTTTCTTATATAGAATACCGTTGCTAAGCCGACAATGTGCAAGTCTAAATGATATGAAAGTATGAGCGCCGTCTCGCAACATACACCCACGGCGTGCTAATAACATATTGAAATCGCAATTTTGTCTCAATATTTAATAGAAAAAAAAAACCAGCAAAGAGTTTTATGATGAACTGCTGCCATGCTATTAGTCGGACTTCTATTCGAATCATGACGTCGCGTGTGGAACTCGGTGAAAAGTTCAAGTGCCAAGTGAATCCCGACATTTTCCGTTTTATAAGAGACGGTGCAACAACAACAATAATTCAGGCTCCCGGCAGAATCATGATCTAGCAATAAATGATACTTGCGAAAGTTATGGACTTACAATAAATGCGAGATTCTTGGACGTGTTGCTAGTTGGCCTAGCAACGAAAGGATGAGAAACGTGATATGTGTGGAATGAGAAAGTGAGATGTATGGACTGAGACTGGCAAGGAATGAGAAGCGCGCGATGTCATGATGATGAATCTCGAGAAATTGACATTTGGACTAACATCGACTACTGATGAACGGCGAATCATAATCTGTGGATTGCATAGTTCACTGTTTCAGCTTGATAAAAACGAAGAAAATATCTTAGATGTTATTTCCCTGCACTCCTGATCTCACCACCTTTTTTTCTACGGACGATATTCTGAAGATAGAATTAATGCCCGCCGACGTTTTAATTTAATGTGTTTACCTCGTAATTGAATTAACAAAATGACCTTTCCAGAGACCTTTTAACTGCGTCATAGTTACCCATGGGCACTCGGTAGAGTCAAGCTGGTATATATTGCTGATCAGTGCAGTTATCATAATGAAAAGCCATGTGAGGTAATCATGAGCTGCCAATATTCTTCTATGACCAAGAGCTGAATCTTAGATGCCATTACGAAAATTAACGTTGAGTTTTGACCCAAAATTAAAAGAAGTAATGATTTTATTGAAGGAAATGAAAAATAAATCTGCGCTAGTGTTACCTTTTTATATATATTAACTGATTAAAGTGGTGGACTAATTTCATGTGATTCAGTTTACTTGCCATGGGGGGGGGGGGGTAATATATTTTACCCGGATGTTGGCTTTCATATTTGCATATAAGCAGATTACTATATTCTTTATAGTCCATATATCAGTATTAATAATAATCGTTCAGTCTACATTTTAAATAATCCATCTCCCAATTATCGCAATAGCCAAGTTCATGACCCCTGTAATTCAGTTTGTGTATATTCCTTCGCCACTTTGACACTCATCTGTACTACGCACGCGCATAATACTGGATGTTTTGCATTATGAACTGCTTAGGCCACAGTTATGAGATACTGTTTTCATTTCATTTTTACAATATTTTGACAGAAACCAGAAAGGAAAATCGAGAGCTGCCCGTTTGAACGGACGCGTGCGCGCTGACCAGAACCAAATCTTTTTGTTTGGCCTTACTTTGAAACCAAGCCAAATTGGCGTTTTGTGCATGTCAGCCATTGTTTATATTTCATAGTCGTTCTTCAGCATCGATGTATTCCTTGTGTCACAATGGTAATGGTACATAGACAAGCAACTAACTTCAGTACAGATGACGTCATAGATGATTGTACGGTTTGCATTAGTATCGTGTTATTTCCCCATAACAACATTTCTTACTAGACGTTCTTTATATAAGCATGGTACATTTGGTATTTAATAAATTAAGAGAACGCGGACAGCCAACAATAAACGTGCATTCCTATACATGTTAATTTACGTAGCAATCTATATTCATTTTCTACATATCTGGAAATTTACAAGTAAATTCACGCAACTGTAATTTCGTGTGAAATTGACCAGTTCTACTACAGTTAAATTTAATAGTAATTACATAATAATTACTATTATTTGTTATGGTTTAGTATATTTGATTCGAGTATCTGGATATGCCTGTGACATTACCGAAATGAAATTTTTTTTTTCATTCGACGATTTACACACGATATGCGACAGGAAATATGTCAGTGTTTTCAAATGCCATGCATCGCAATGATTACTCGGTTAAGTAAAAGTTGTGAATGCAGAACAGTACATTAGGTATGCTAGCAAGGTTCGATTACGTCAACACTAGGCGTTGGTGGAGTGATTTGGGGTCCTAATGGCTGTGCATATTTGATATAGCCTTCTACTAACAACAATTAAACGTAGATTCCCTTTTGAAAGATTTGGTTCCTGCATTGATTTATATTTCCATTGAACATATGCGTCAGATAAAACACTGCATAAATTATTGTAGAACATGCAGACAATGAAATGGACCTTTTCTGATCAAACAACTGATGACTCACGAACATAATTCACACAACATGCACATACATTGTGAATGTTTCTACGAAAAGGGCGTAATGCACATTACCTGTAAGTCGCGCCCTCTAGTGGCGGGGCGCTTTAGTGACGTCGAAATGACGTATATGGTGAAGGCAATGTCGTTCAAGCTGACAAATGTGTCTGGCAGTTGAGTCGTTCGTCATCTAAAACATAGTAACGTCTCTCCAAAATATAATCTTCATTACTGACAACAGCAGTTAAAAACTATGTCGATGCTTTGAACGACATTAGTGTCACCCAGGTACGCGCATCGCCGCTAGAGGGCGCGGGGTTATAGGAAAGGTGTATTGGATGTTTAACCACTTTGAAATATGCATGCGTAAGTCTTTGACTTCGCAATAGCATGTTTGTATACAACAACCTGGAACTAACTACTTCACTGGGTTAAGTTTCCCACATGTAAACAGAAAACACACACATTACACACATACGAAATCAAATTAGATTGGCAACACGTTACACATATATTGATGAATTAGTATATGACTCACCATATCCAGCACCAGGTTAAGGAAGAACACCATATCGACATACGTCGGCGTCGAAAGGTCCATAACCGGTCGCACAAGGTTACTGTAATTCCCCAACTTGTCGTTAAAAAGGCGATGCAGATCTGCATTGCCGAGAATACCTATAAATAACAACGATAATACTCATAAAAAATGTGCTCAACACTCTAATCAGTTTTACTTATTGAATTAAACATTTAGAGGGATCAAAGTTATTTAATTTGTCAATGTTTGTCAGTGGTAGTCGGCGACGACGTATACGGTTATCATCAATGCCTAGAAGGAACATACTTTCCCCATCATTTCAAAATGTTCGTTTCACTAGAACATTTAAGCTGGTATTGTAATAATATGCGTGGTCAAAAACGGGTCTAGTCATATCAGTACGTTACTAGAGCTTCCCTCAATATAAGAAGCGTGAGTGATGTGTTGTACTCGAACAACACAAATTTACTTTTTTGTTACGTTTTGCGGGCTATAGTGTAAAATACCATAGTATACGCCCTCTATTGTTTGCATCATAAAGTGTCCCTATTGTATAACCACAGTTATTATTCTTTCGTGCGTACGGATGACACGTTCTCTCCACGTAATCATTTTTTTTATTTCAACTCGAAGCTATTAGCTTTTTTCAACGGGGCTTGTAAATTTACTGTGAATACAACGGATACCCTTGATAACTACGTCAATTGTACAGTTACATTATCATGGATTATTCCGGCTTAGAAATCGAAAATATCTGTACAGGAAAGCCGACATGACAAACACACATGAGGGAAAAAGCACTGTAAGGCACATCTGGGTGATAAACGAGCAACAATTCTGAAGAACAAGTCTGATAACGCCCCTTGAACGCCCCGATGTGAACACCGATAGTTTCAGGCTCAGTAACGCGGGAAATGAGTCCGAGATCACATGTATACAGTGATGGCGTGTGATTACGAAACTCAATAGAGTTCCATTCAGGCAGGTAATCTAAAATAATTGGGAAGAAAAAGTGAAGCCTTTGTTGAGTACAAAGCCACATTTATCGGACTTTGAGAGCAGTTGTTGTCAACTGAATAGCCAGAAGTAATTTTACTTCAGCGATGACGTTTTTTCCTGACACTCCTGAGAAACTGCCATTTTATTCGGGATTATCAGTGCTCACATTCACGAGTATTACAGTTTGGGTGGGAATCTATACGGGACTGTAGTATCGGCTTTTGTGCAACGATGATTCTACAATTTATAAAATGTCGTTGAATGAATACGCGAAAACCGGAACATCATTTACGCAATGTTGCACTCCCGGTCAGCTGACGGGGAAATTGTACGAAAGCAGCATATTCTCACGTTCGAAGTTTCAGGGGTGGCGTGACTCAGCGGAAGCTATCGAGCGCTTGGCGCATACGATCTAATCAGTATTATGTTGGAAAAATCAGATAATTTACTTCCAACTTATCAAGGTGAAATGATATCTTATCATCATAAAGTATTGTGCAATTGTGACAGGAGATGCGGCAGACAAAATATGTTACGTCAAACAAATAGTTACGTCTTCCGATAACATACATCCGATGGAAAGATACGATTGTATATCATGCTACAGTTTGAATGTTCACTTATTCGACAACACGTGTGACGAATAACATCTGAATAATTTTTATCTTATTGCACACGTAAGGTCGTTCTTACCCCAATAAACTGGTTGCGTTTGCGCACAATAGTAAAAATATTTTTATTTAAACAGCGACATATGGATAATTATTTAGGTATTATTGACTTGAAAAAATATTATCATGCACGACGAAATAATATAACACAAGTTTGCTATAAAAAAATCCGCCAAATGATTTACACTGGGATATATTGTTGCGTCTTGTTTTGCCATAGGAAACAATATAAAAAAGTTAAACCGATTAAACCTGTTGCGATGACCATTTTCTGTATATAATTTCTTCATTAACGAAACACGAAAATTAAAACAAATATAGTTTGGAGCAGAGTAGTGTCGGTTATTATTAAAACTACGAAAGAAGGGGCCAAAAGGTGACATCAGTATGCAGGAATAAAGGTGTAAACAAGAAACACCTCGATGGGAAATGACTTTCACGCTAATCCCAAACAAATCACGCAAAAATTTGAAGATACTTTCAATTTAAAAAACAAACAAAACGTGACCATCGCGTAGCATGATATTTCGAAAATATTTTGATTCATTCACGATATTTCAAATGATGAAAATCCCGATACTCAAACAAATCACGACTTTCGTGATCCACAAACAAACAAGTTTACCAGCTTAGAAATTGACTATTCTATCGATTCTCGACCATAAAATGAACATCAGTGATTTATCAATCTGTCATCTAAAAAGCCGTAGCACAGTTTAGTAGAGTGCATATGAAGTCAAAAAGACTATAATTGACGCGTTTGACGTTACGCCTGAGTTGTGTTTGACATCATTTCGAACCTTAATGTGGGCGAATGACACAGTGCAATTATGACTGCGACTTCGTCCACGTGTTTTTGACTGTCGCTGTTGGAAGCTTTGATGCATGACACTTTCAACAAAGACAGACCGATTAGGAAGATAGGACTATCTTAAAAGCCATTAAAATACCCGAATTCTCGTTTAATTGCCTATATACTCTTGCTCATGGTAATATGTTTTTTTGTATAAAATCCTGTCGAAGATTCGGTTATTAATCGATTAAATTAAAAGGCGGTTTAAAGATGCGGTCGATATACACATTCTCAATTTGCTTAATTCTGAAAATGAATATGAATTTCACCCAAAAGAATTTATCCGAACATACAATCCAACTGTTTTACCGAAACACACACACAAGTCAAATATATCGATTTTTTAAAGAAAAAAAAAAACATGATTGCCGCAATAATAAGGTTAGCCTTCTCGATGTCAATGGTGTTAACTGAGATCATGTGACCCGAAATTAAAATCCAACGACACTTGTCAAACTCGTTCGTTTTATTTAATTCTATAACGCAATAACCATTTGGGAGGTCATATGACCGGAAAGAAATCTCACAGAGTTGTCACTTTTCATTTGCCTCCCATTCTTGCTTAGCAAATTATGATTGAAACGTACTCGTACAATTCTGTCACTCGATCAACTGGATTTAGTAAGCTCCAGTTCCATTTCATGATTCTGTATTAAAACTACTTGTGCGCGATTACCAAAGCGTCAATAAGCACTGTGTGACGTCACGGCACCCAAGTGGCAACTTATACATGTATTGTAAAATCCTAACATTATGATTGGCTAAACTATTAATCTTATAGCCAATCAGGTACGATTGTATAATTTATTACCAACTTAAAGTAAATCAACGCGTCGGACTAAACAGCTCCTTTGATGGAGCACTGCAACTTGTCACCGAGAGCACTATATGCAAAGAGAACGGTTCTTACCAACTTATTACACTGGAGACATAATACTGGCTCTACTACAACACAAATAACTTTACAGAAATGATTCCTGTGAGGTGTTTCAATTTCTGAACAACTTTGAGTGTCAACTAATCAGTAATAAATAAACTATCGCTAGAAGTTCCTGCAGTACGCCGAGGGGATTCATGCATGCGCAAAAAACACAGCATGGCCGTGATCTTGATGGACAGAACCCGTAGCTCACATACGTAATTAGAAAGATGGCTAGAAACATGTGCGTGTGAAGTTGATCCTCTTTCTAATATCAATTAATCCACCGCGTCGTAACAGCTGCTTCTAAAATTACAGATAAGTCGGCGATCGGATGAGTGGATGTGTTATCAAGTTGTTTTTCGGCAACATGCGTTTCTCGTATGCAATGAGTATTTAAGTACATGATAACATTTAAACAGAATTTGAAAATTATAATTTTTATAAAACTTGTGAATTTTGTTATATAAGGCTGTTAACATTCTTTAAAAGGAAATATACTATAGCAGAATAATCTGGAACCGAATACACACTGAGGATAAACAAAATATTGACATTTAGTTACGATAATCGGTTCTAGCAACCCCTTTGAACATCTTTCATAAAATAAACCTACATAACTTTCGAGATATATTTTTTAAAATTTGGATTACAACTGTAGCTTATGAAACATTGTGACCATCTGATCCACAATTAACAAAATTATAGAAAAATGCATACAAATTTGCAAAATGTTGCACGACATTTTCTGGCGGGAAGAATTATGTCGTTCAAAACGAAATGCGATGAATTAAATGAAATGTACTAGTATTTTCCACATTCTAATTTCATTATTTCATATCAATGAAATGTGTTGTGAATAGAAGTTCGATGTACTATTCATGAATTCAGCCATGACAGCTAATGTCCTTGGATACTACCTAAGTTGAGACGCACGTGCTGAGACAACGAACAATTCTAGCCTCCTTGCTCAAAGGTCTGGACCATAGTTATAAACAGGTAACTACTGTTCACGGAGTGATTATATATGTATCGTTGATATTGTAGTACCACTATACGCGAATACGTGACATCACACTCGAATCACGTGAGTGCGATATACTCGCGTTGAGGTGGACAATATACATGCACTCATAGCCATCATGAAAGATACTAATATCTTCCATATACCGAATATTAAGACAATGCCTATCACGGCAGATGTTCGGGGCCAATGATTTATTTATAAGAAATAAAATAACTTCGTTAATACCAACTACCATCTCATTATCACACGGTATTCTTAAGGAATGTAAGACTGTGCTTGGTTTTAATACGCTAGCGATGAAACGAAAATAGACACGAGATCGTCAACCACATTTCACGCGACCATGTAGAGAACAATTGGGGAATGTATTAGATTCATCCCATCATGGAAGGAATTAGTACCTTCCATGATCCCATGTATGTTATATTAAGGTGTCGGAGCAAGGCAAGTCAAACAAATTGTCGTATTCTGGTAATTCCCCCAAAATACTTGGGAATTTGTCGTTGACAGATACATTCGACTTAATTAACAACAGCACTATGAAATAAAAAAAAACAACAAAGTTAACTGAAAATATGATCCAGTAAATGAACGAATGATAGACATTGAGAGTGAATTTCTAAGTTCTAGGAATACTACATGGTGATACGTAACAAATAAATAGATTGAAACCAAGCGTTGGTCAGACAAGATAGAAAAATATGTGGCATCTAATTTAACACTAGCACTGTGTGCGGCGCATATAATCTCTAAATTAAAGCGTTTATTGGAATACAATGTGATGAAAATGTGATTATTTTCTAGCGTGACAACTGAGAGATTTCTCGTTCGGCAACTCTTTCTATTATATACAGTGATCCGTGAAATCATTACAGTAACAAGTCTAATTATTAAGTATTTTATTTGAATTGTCGAACAATCTCTTCAATATATTGGGTCACGACGTGCTAATTTTGTCTCGAACTATTATGGAATTAGATATCAAAAATATATCCAAGGATCAGAGGCGTGACATGTACGTGAACGCGCAGGCAAGCGTGTCAGTTTATGGACGGAAAAACGTGACGTGAGTAATATCAGACGAAAACACGAAGCGAACCATTGAAACCATTGAATTCGCGTTCAATTCACGAGAAAATATTTTTTGAGTCAGGTACGTTGTACACCAAACGATATAAAGGTAAATGTTATGATTGAACCAATTAAACGTTATCAATATGGGAATCTTGCTTGAATAGAAAGACTATTGCATCAAATGTTACATGGTTCAATCGTACGTAGTTAAAGGCCCATGTCAGGCGAACCGATCAATAATCGTTGTTAAATCATAGGTGGTGCATGTTAATTTTGACTTGTAATGGACAATCAGTACGCATAGGCAATTTATTATCATAATTAAAGAATGAAATGAGTGCTGTAATATTCTTAAGCAAAACAATTTGCCAAGAAGTTGGTGGAGATGTTTACAACATCGTGACTCCAAGTTATTAGGGATTTTAATGCAAAGTAGTGAATTATCTGTCCTCGATTTTCCAAGTATTATGCACCTTTAACATATACGTAAATTGAGGCCATGATAAACGGCTGAATGTGCACTGGATGCATTCTTGGGGAGAATGCATTAATTTAAAAATACACATTCGATGTTCACAGTCTTTGTCATTAACACTAAAGTACACATCTTAAATTACACATTGGTGTGCATATTTCCAGTCAATCATATACACTGAGGACCAGCAAAACCTGATATAAGCAGCGTAAATGGGTACAAAGCGTTGATAACCGACAGGTAATCAATATTATTCATGCTTTTTTTCATTAATTAAAATCACATTTCTTCTTAAACATCCAATAATTATCAAAATAACGTACAGAAATGCATTCCGGTTTAAATGTATCGCGTACATTGTACCCTTTGTGACGTTCACGTACTTTAAAAGTAGAAAAGACATTTTTTTTCTATAAGTGGTAAAAGGGAAAAAAAGAAAACAAACCGACGTTTTCTTTTGATCAACAGATATGACTCGCGGTTAGAAAAGAAATCCCAAACGAAATTCAAAACTCTGATTGATGTAGATTTCTCATTCAATTCTTAATTGAGAAATCGACAATAACCACGGAGAAGGAGAATAAACAGATACTCCCACGTGGACGGTACGAATTAAAGCTTCCATGTAATGCGCTTTTACCAATTGAAATGAACCCTCTACTGGATTCGAGAGAAAGGGGGAAATCTGTTGATCTAATCTTGATAACAGCTTTACTTTAATTCATTAGAAGATTAACGATACCTTCTTGACAAATTCATTACTTTGATTACAGAGAAATGATGGCATTGACCTTGAATTGATCTTGCAGGCATCCTCTCATTCCAGTGATGGTATGGACGCGATCTGGATAGGATAACGCATATTTATTCAAACAGTTTTTTTTTTCATTTTTCATGCATGCCACACGATGTATTGTCTCTGGTCAGCAGGTAACGCTAGAAAGTACAAACTGTGCTGCTATAGTCAATTTCCCATGTGATAATAACATCCTTGTGGACGTCAAGTTGAGTCTTTGACGACACATTTATCAGTCATGCGATTATCGTCTTGCAAGTTGAACTACGTGAAGCTACATAGCCTATTTTAATATATAGTCGCTGCTTGCTCACGTACCGGTATCACCTCTGTCAGACTGAATCATACTGTCGGTGACCCGATGAAGTATCTATAGCTTACGCGCCGTTTCTCAATTAACGTCTTCAAGATGCGAAATAGCAGGGACGTCAGAGCACGCTACAACGTAATATACGTCTATGGTTATACTTACCCAGACTTTATAAACAGAATTATAAACAGAATGGAATATGACTTAAGAATACTGCTTAACTATGCAGGATTCGCAACAAATTTTATTAAATTTTAGTCGCCATCCTCTTCATATAATTTTGCATGCAGAGAATGCATTAGCTATGTTTTTTTTCAGACCATATGTTCACATGATAGTGGTTCGACACCCGTGTAAAAAATGAGCCATGATAGTGCTTATATATTTGGATAAATTAAACACTGTTTAGATTTCTTGATATGTTTCTGTTGGTTGTTGGCAATCCACGTACTGTTGTGTTCAATAAATTGCCGTGTTCACATCTGTTTTTTGTTTGCTCCTTTACAACGACAAAAAATACAGCGGCAAAAGAAAACTGACGTGTAAACGTTACACAGGCGGAATGAAGGTATCATCCCGGCGTAAATATTACTCAATACTTATGCTGGCTTAAGAAAATAGAGATGGACACGTTATGCTGGTGTAAAGAGGATTAACTATGACGGAGTTTAAACCTCATCGGAAAGGGCAACACCGGCCAATATTCCCAAATGACGTTGTAAGTGCATTGTAAATCCACACATGAATGTGTGTGCCGCTGTCAACTTTATTTATTAATAAGTTTTTCTTATTTAAAACTAGATAATCGCAATATGTGTCGAATTGCTAGCAGTTTAGATTTGGTTATATTGACCTGTATGCGTGGCTAAACTCAAAATATTTGTTTTCTACCACCAAGAAAAATCAACCTGGCGGACCTACTTCATTTCATTTTCAGTTGACTCACCTAAAGAATAAACAACGCCATGTAGACTACGATATGCAACTAGTTGTATATATATATAAAAAAAAAACAATTGACAAATCGCGGAATTCGCGATTTAAAAATATAGTCCAAGACTTCAAATGTATACAGCGGTGGTTTATTTTCATGGCTTAAAAGTTCAGATGGTAATAATGAAAAGTTAATCCCCGTTCTCTAGATTACAATTAAGCGCGTTTTGTGAACATAGAATGAAAATGGTACTGTCATGTCATGCTCACAGTTCTAAGTAAGCTGGTATCCGAGAGGAAAAGATATAATAAAGAAAAAAATAACTGTAGTAGATCGATTATTTCTCTCACTTATCAAGAATGAGCATTTGGACGTTTTCACAAGAAGTTGTGTGTTTGTATTGCATCACCATGGAAACTAATCACCTGCTCCGTGCCCAATGATAATAACCCGAAGACATGATTCAAATTTACATCTCTCTGACAAATTTGTTTTTTTATAATTGGATATTCATGAATTTGAAATTTCAATTGGTTTGCGTGTTGAAAATATTGTTTTTATACAAATATGTCAAGTGGTTAAAAAAATGACGCGAAGAAATAATGACAAATCTTGATAGATTACTGGGTATTTACTATTCAAGTGTCATCACTACCTGAAATAAGGCGATGTCTTCAATGCGCCATTCGCCGTGTTTGAAAAATTTCCAATTTGGTTCTTGGAATAGAAATAATAACACACGATCTGAAGTGACAATATGACTGCATTTATATTCAAATGGAATGTAGAACCGGGATCTAGACAGGATAGAATACTAGTCTCCTATCAATTTAAAAGCCAAATGCTGGTGATAAATACACGCTGATGTTTTAAATTCATAATATAGCCATACCGAACAAATTAGCTTCGCTTTAATGACCCTATTATATGAAGAAAATATTGCAACATGTACATCCGCCGCAGCTACTTCCATTTCAGTCTTTTTTAATTTCTGTAGAACTGTCGCCAAAATTACACACTGTAATCCTAACCGGCGAATGAAATTGACAACATGGAGTCTGAAATTGACTGTACGGGTCACGAAATGAATTATTATTTGAAGTCGCACAGCAGGCTGAAAATTAGAAAGCGATTTCGAAGAAACTTCGTTTTATAATGATTTTCCTGAATAATCGTGTATTAGTGCATGCAAGTACAGCCTGGTATAACACGGCATCACCGCCCATTATATCAATATTCATAGTTTTAAACACAAGCGGCTACAGTGTAATTGACAACAGTAGTAACAATAACAACAACACATCATACCATTCCGATGGTGTCATACGATACTTAGATAGTTTATTAAACAACGGGTGTCAACACCAACTGGTCAAAAATATATAATTGCCGAACCGAGTGGATAACATAAGGTTAAAATTGATTGGTACGCACCGATAAAGTGATTTAAGGCGGGAGGGTCGCACTCGCGCGAATTGAGTCCCAGGCGACGATAACAACACACCCTAAAAATGCAAAGGCTCATGGGTAGACGCTTGTTTGTAAACAATGACACGCTATGGCCATCTGGCGCATGCGCATGTGACGACTCCCCCGCTTTAAGTATAATTGTAATAACATATATACACATAGCTATCTAAAAAGATAATACAGCATCAGAAGAGAATAGAAAAATGTACAATCTAAGATCATGAATGGTGTGATATTTTGCAATACATCAAATGCACTTACGTATACATCATTAGATAACCCCGGATTGTGGCAATCCCAATATATGCTTAATTTTCAAACAAAAACAAAGCATTGACAAAATACGCTAACCAAACCTAGCTGTCAAAAATTCAAGAAATACTAACTGAGTGGCAGATTATGATGCCTCCTGGGCAAATCTAAACATATTGGCTTTATCATGGGAAAGACGAAATGTGATCAATTAGTCTGAGGCGATCAGCTGCAAAATTAAAAGCATGTAATAGTATATGCTCGTTGACTGGCAGATGACTCCAAATATATAGACCCCCGAGCCCAAATATGTAGTTACTTTAGTCGGGGTTTGTGGACCTCTGACAATAATGGTGCACCCTCATTATTCTAAAAGGATTTTGGGATAATTTCCTTTTCTAAGACTTATAAGTGAAAAAGGATGGGATGGCATGTGATGATAGTTAATAGTATAATATTCGACTGTCACCACTTTGGGTACACGTGTTGCTGTTTTTTCATGCATTACTTATAATCTTGATTGTTTATAGCTGTATAGGTAGTCATTGATCGTCCATATGCCGAATATTGACTGTTTGGCCACAAAACAATAATGTTACCGTGTTACGGTCGGGTTAAATACACGCGGGTTACAAGACTAAAATGTACATATTTGTGTAATGTCCAATTTTAATTCAAATATTGTTGCAAATATTGAAAATGTCACGTGCCCCCATCCCCGAATACCTCTCTTTACCACATATTGCCAAGTGCCCTCCCTGCTCTATGGCCATTTACATTTCGTTCTAATTTATTGCAGATTTCATATCATATGGATCATCCCCGTTAAATAAAACCTTGTTCAACAAAAGGTGGATATAAGTTGCAAACCCAACGGTGATTATCATTCCAGTCAGGATTACCAAGCTAGCTGGGGTGCAACAAATTAACGATATGTGAAAGAAAATTGCCAGCAATATGGTATAGTAATAGACCATTAATGCATATTTTATTTAGTGTGACACATCGGGTTGAAACCGCTGAATGGCTCATCCCTTCTTTGTTGACAGCGTGCCGATGAACAATATCATAACACAAATAAACGTGGCATATGTAACAATGAAAGCTGGTCAAAATGGGGACGGTTGCAATCATGTCCAAGAAACACACATATATCGTAACAAAGAGCATTGCAAACAAGTGATCGATTTCGAGTAAATAATTTTTTGTGTAAGTATGTCCACAAAGAAGTTTAGATGCGATTGTCGGATTGTAATACTATTTAATATATAAATATAATATTACATATTAATTTTGATTATCAATCCTGTATATGTCATTTTCCCTTCACAGAAAATCTACCCAACTATAAAGAGATATAGTCTCATTTGATGTTTTTCTTTTTTTAATTTTAATTAAAAAAAAAAATATCGAACAAAGTATACTGGCACTTATCAGTGATAAATAAGCAAATAAACGTTAAATTTATATAATAATCGTATTGGAAAAAAAAACCACGGTGAATATTTGTGATGAATACGAACATAATACAATTTGGCAGATATCTTGTATCATCAATAACACTGTTGCCAGCCGATAACTGTGAAAGCACGATGTCTGCCAGCTTAAGCTCTTCATTCTCTCCCCGGGGATCCGGGAATATAACTACAATTCAATTCACTGAATTCGACGTGAACGAGGAATGTTTTGGCGAAAACATAACAGGAAGTGATATGAATTTGCGTGTATGTGTGTGCGCGCACAATGACTGAACTTGGCCAACATGCAAAAAATGTCAGTTAATAGTGAAATAACGTGTTTCACTGGGACCCCCACCGGCTGTCAAATTACGGTTGATCGGCAAATCACAGTGGACGTTATTGACAATACTGTACAAAATGTGGTTAGGGTGGTCGCTCATCTGTTATTCTCATTCGCCTGCTGAGATAAATATATTTATTTATTTATTCAAGTTTATTTTGAAATTGGCAGATATACACCCTCAATCTCATGATTGCCACGTGATAAGCCCGAGTCAGTAATGAATAAGAGCGTCCAACGTCACCTGTTTCTGTACTACGCATTACGCAGTCTGAAAATACACATAAGTGCCGTAATTAACACCATTACAAAATTCCATCACCAATAATAAAAAAGCCAGTACTAAGCCAGCCCATTTACGGTTTTATTTACCATCAAGTCAAGACCTTGCCCAATAGACGTGGAGGAAAACAATTATACGTCATTACAGCACAATTGTCGCTATTATCGTAACATTAACATCGCCATTATATAAAACCAACCCTGTTTCAATTTGAAAGACTTAGAATGTGCGCATTGCGATACAGTGTATTCTGATTGTGGATACTTAAACTAAGCCATTTACAGAATTAATTGCAGA